CCCCCGTGGAGTGCACTTAAAAAGTCAAGATCCGCTTCAGCCCCCCATACTTGTCATTGGCTAAATGCATATTATCTTAATTTTTTTTAGAAAGATGCAGCATCTCCTAGGAATTCTATGAATTTTTGCCTTTCGCCTCTGCGGCTTTGAGAGCTTTCGGTGCAACCGGAACTGCTGCGAGTCTGCTCATACAACGGTCATAAAACCAGAGCGGGAAATAGTGGAAGATGAAGAGGTATTTGTAAGCATCCTTGCCAGGAGTGTATAACCCATGTGGGCTTTTTGCCAGCAATGCATGTAAAACATCCCAGAGGACAGGTGAGAGATCAGGTCTGGAGATATTCGGCATGCGCGACAGTAAGACCTTCTGCGCAAGGAGGTACTCTTCGCCGTAATCTTCCTTCACATCTGGTGTGAGCTTCTCAAGAAGATTCTGCTCTAACGTATTCCACTGCTCGGGTGTTCCCTGGATAGCTGGAAGAATATTATATCATTTATGAATGTCTGGACTTCTTCATTTTATATTCCATTCCATTCCAGCAAAGTCAAATACGGGATAAGGGAAGATGAAGGAAAGGAGAGATAGCGTTCCTGGGTTACATTGCCTCCAGATAGTGGATTGAAAATAAGAAGAGCTCTGCCGGATCAGAGCATTTTGTCTCACACAGTGGTCAGCCAGTTCCTCTGGTGGTCCAACAACAGGGCACGGAGGCTGAGGCCTTCCTCTAACTGTTGCCTCCTGGTACTGAGATCCAGAGGTTGACAGCCTCTGAATGTGAAGTCACCACTGATAGACCTATCCGTCCTACAGGGCTCTTTGTAGAAAAAGCCCAGCAGGAACTCACTGGCATAATAGGCCACACCCAACAGCAGAAACACATTAGCATCTTGGGTTTATCCTGTTAGGACTTCACTTCCCATATACGCCTCAACAGGGCTTTTTTTGTAGAAAAAGTCCAGCAGGAACCCATTAGAATAATAGGCCACACCCAGCAGCAGAAACTCATTAGCATATTAGACCACACCCCTGATTGCACCACTCATTAGCACATTAGGCCGCACCCCCATGTTACCAGAAGTGTGGTCACCCAGCCACACCCACCTTTTGCTTCTTATTCTGTTTACCTTGTTTGTTGTCAAAACCCAGAGCTTTTTTTGTACCAGGAACTCCTTTGCATGTTTGGCCACACACCCCTAAGGTAGCCAATCCTAATGAGTTTCTGCCATTGGGTGTGGCCTATTATGCTAATGAGTTCCTGCTGGGCATGGCCAACTCGGGAGCCAGCCGGAACTCCGTTCCTGCGCGTTCCTGCCCAAAAATAGCCCTGGTCCTCCATGAATCTATCTAATCCTCTTTTAAAGCTGTCTGTACAAAAAATGTACAGAGGTGGGTTGCCATCGCCTGCCTCTGCATCACAACCCTGGACTTCTTTGGTGGTCTCTCATCCAAGTACTAACCGAGGCTAACCCAGCTTAGCTTCTATGATGAGACCGGGCAAGCCCAGATGATCCAAGTCAGGTCATGAATACTGAATCAGACCATTGTTTCTGCCTACTAGGGCTGGCAATAAGTCTTCAGGGTCTCTGGTCAAGATCTTTCACATTACCTCCAACCTGATTCTTTACACTGGAGATGCTGGGGATTGAACCCGGGTACTTCTGCATGTAACGCTCATGCTCTACCATTGCGTTGCTGCCCCCGCCCCTAGGGAAGCTGTACTTACAGCTCTCAAGCGAAGTGTGTATGGTCTGCCAGGGAGACCACTGGAAGTACTTCCTCAACAGGCATGGACGGCTTCAAAAGGGAATTAGATAAGCATATGGAGCAGAGGTCCATCAGTGGCTATTAGCCACAAGGTATAGCTAGGGGCTCTGGGGCAAGTGATGCTCTGTCTTCTTGGTGCTTGGGGGGGGTCAACAGTGGGAGGGCTTCTAATGTCCTGGCCCCACTGCTGGACCTCCTGATGGCACTGGTATTTCTGGCCACTGTGTGACACAGAGTGTTGGACTGGATGGGCCTTTGGCCTGATCCAACATTGGCGTCTCTTATGTTCTTATGTTCTTAAACCATCTTATTTGCATGTGGTAAACTGCTCTTATAATTGGTTCAACGTCTCTCAGATCCAGTACATTCTGGATTCCTTTTTGAAAAATTAATTCATACTGATATGGGGGCCATGTATTTTGGTGATATGTGTAGACACTCGGCCCTTCACATGAGTGGTTCAGATGCAGGCAAATCCGCTGGGCAAAAACAAATTGGTTACCATTGACTTCGGCATGCTAATATAAACTCGACCTTCTGAGCTATGCCTGAGAACAGATTCATAGTGAAAAATGTTGGGTCCCATTTTCCGTCTGTGCTATCTGATGTGTACATGTATGAGCTTCGACCAAACATGCGCATTACTAAGGAAGTCACCCAAATGCACAGTCACATATACAGGTACCAATTTGCCACAGCAAGACAAAACAACAACAGCAACAACAATAGTCACTGCAATCCCAGGAGACAGCAGAATAGAAAACAAAGAAGAGGTGGTTTCTGGTTTCAGCTCCTCGCCTAGCAGGCGCGCACCGGCGAGCTCCGTATGGTGCGGCCTGTTCCGCAGTGGCTAGGAGGGGACCCCCCTGGGGTCCCCGTAGAGGACCCCTCAGCCATGGGGCTCGAGTAGTGCTGCTCCTGAGGCGTGATGCCAAGGGATTGAGGCACACTTTACCCCAAAGGGCCTACTGCTGTGGCACCATCATGGTAGCTAGAGGTGCACACCGGCCGAGCATTCAGGAGTTTCAGCGAAAATGCAAGACATCTCGACAATTTAACGATACCGGAAGAAACGTGAGTGAATTTGCATCAAGCGAATGAACTTTTAAAAGGGCTCCGACACCCCCACACACGCCAGTGATAGGGAGGGGAGCAATATCCCCACCCCCAACAAAAACGAAACTATCATTTAAAGCCTTACTGGAATGGGGGAAAGCGTCCGGAAAAACGTTATTTGAATGAGCAAGTGCATTGCCACGCAAAGCGAACAACAATAACCCCTCTTAAAAACTTTTACAAACTTCCTGAGAAAAGAAAACAATGAGTCAACAGGAAAAAATGGTGCTAAGGAAGCTTCCTTCAGGTGCTGGCAAAACGTCATCTCCGGGAGCGAAACCGGAAGCCAGTACAGACTTTTCAGCCACGTTAGTTGTAGCACTGCGACCCCTACTGGACCAAATGACGAATCTCAACCCAGATTTTGAAACACTCCAAAAACAGATGGTAAAGAACTCTAATGCAGTCAAAAAAGGTTGTTTTTAAAACAACTGTACTTGATCAAAAAGTGGACCGATTAAAAAAAGAAAGAACCTCAAAGAAGAAATCCTTAGGCTTCAAGCAGAAAAATCAGCCTATGTGCTGAGGTTCCAAGATGTTCCAGAACAAAGCGGTGAGAATCTCAAAGAAATCTTGACTCAAGCATTAGCCCCAATGACAGGTATGAAACGTGAAGAGTTATTAAGCGATCTGGATGTGGTCTATAGATCATACCCCAAATACATAAAGAAGAGAAACCTGCCTGGGGAAATTATAGTCAGATTCTCGAAAAGGTTCACAAGAGACGTAGTTCTCAAAGCTACCAATGGAAACGTCTTGAAGATTAAAGAGTCGGAAATAAGAGTTCTAAAGGAAGTATTATTTGAAATCAGAAAGAAGCGAAGATGTTACAAAGATTTAACTACATTTCTACAAAAGAAATCAATAAGCTACAGATGGCTTCTACCGGAAGGATTAACATTCAAGTACAAGGATTTAAAAGAAAAGATTGACTCTGTTGATAAAGCAAAACGATTTTTGGAGAAAGTTCAAGGACTACCAAAAGGAAATATCAGCAGAAGAAGAGAAGAGTCATCAAGAAGAAGGAGAATACAGCTTGTGTGGCTCGAGAACTTCAGAATCGGATACAACCAGATCATCTGAAGAAGATTCCTCATCAGAACTGGGAGGAGCGGCACCCAAATTACCCAAAGGCAAAACTGACTTTGATAAAGATAAAAAGAAGGGAACAAGAAACAAGAAGGGAATGTAACTGACATACGCACTTGAAGAGATAATTATCTTGCTTACTTGCTTAGAGCAAATACTTACACTTTAAGCTTTACAAACTGAAAAGAAGCTTTACTCGTGTATGACTTAACATGAGAAACTTGAATAAGCATTCATCACCAGCAATATATACAGGGGTCATTTCGTAGAAAAAGAGCTAGGGGAACTCATTAGCATAACTCATTAGCATATGCCACACCCCCTGACATCAGGGGCCCGGCGGTGGACCTGCAAGGCCAGCGGGAGTGCGAGGAAGCCCCGTAGCCTTTCTTTTAGTAATGCTGTCCTATCCCCTGTAGTCGGTTAGTGTTTACCCACCCCTTGTTTCTATGGAGTGTGTAGTATAAAAGCAATAAAAAATTTATATATATATTAAAAAAAAGAAAACAAAGAAGAAGAGAAGATGACAAAGAATCTTTGGGAGAAGAGGGTGACCAATGCCATCCTGCCAGTTGTCATTGGAGCCAATGGAGCCGTGCCCAGAAGTCTCAAGAAACACCTGGGCAGTCTGGGCATTGAGCAAATAATACCAGGTCAGCTCCAGAAGACCGTGATGCTTGGAACAGCAAGAAACCTGAGAAGACACATCTGCAGTTCCCAAGAACTTGGCTAGACCTCGGATTGCAGAACATTATCTAACAGTCAAATATCTGACTGTGACAATTCGTAACGATAATAATATGCCACGCACGAGAGATTAATCCGTCAGCTGCGTCACCGTATACACATTCCATTTAGCCTACGATGACAGGAAAGTCATCACAGACTGGAAGGGATCACGTCAATCAGTTTTCCCTGGCAGCGTCTAATGAGCTAGATTTTTGGGAAGTTGTCTTCACCTCTCAAGGGAGCCGCCCCGCCTCCCGCAACTGGTATTTACAAGAAGAAAGCAAACCCTCGGGGCCCAGGAGGATGAACGGAAGGAGAAATTAAGGCCCCTGTCAAGGATGACTGACAAGCCTCTATAAATGTCATCCTGCCCATTTTATGGCCGAGACAAGAGACTCCACCTGGAATCCTAACCAGCCAAAGTCATTACTGAGCATCCCTATGGGTATCGCTGCAGGTCATTTGCAATTTCTGCAACATTGATCTTGAAGGATTTTCACTCACACAGGTGTTGGAGAAGGATGCGAAATGTCAAGGACTTACATGTTCTGAAGCCTGAGGGGTGAACGGCAGCCACTTTAACCCCCCATTTGGAAAGCTCCTGCCGCATTACTCCAGAAAACATAGAGAGAGCCGCTTTGGATGCTCCATAAGCTGCAAACTTCGGCATTGGGACACCTCCTGTGGGAGCAAGAGGGACACAATCAAGCTTTTTGGAGAGCCAGTTTGGTGTCGTGGTTAAGTGCGCGGACTCTAATCTGGGAGAACCAGGTTTGATTCCCCACTCCTCCACTTGCACCTGCTGGATGACCTTGGGCAAGCCATAGTTCTGATAAAGAGCTGTTCTTGAAAAAGAGCAGTTTCTGTCAAGAGCTCTCTCAGCCCCACCTGCCTCACGGGGTGTCTGTTGTGGGGAGGGAAAGGGAAAGGAGTTTGTAAGCCGCTCTGAGACACCTTTGGGTAGTGAAGGGCGGGGTATAAATCCAATCTCTTCCTCTCTTATTCTTTCCCCCCCTCTCCCCCTCCCCCGTCTATTTGCTTTCTTTCCCCCTACTGGGGACCTGGAGGATATTCAGAAGTGGCTAAATAAAGCCTGCCCCCACCTCCAGTTTGGTGTAGTGGTTGAGTACACGGACTCTAATCTGGGAGAACCGGGTTTGATTCCCCACTCCTCCACTTGCACCTGGCTGGATGGCCTTGGGCAAGCCGTAGTTCTGGCACAGCTGTTCTTGAAAAAGAGCAGTTTCTGTCAAGAGCTCTCTCAGCCCTACCTACCTCACGGGGTGTCTGTTGTGGGGAGGGGGAGGGGAAGTAGATTGTAAGCTGCTCTGAGACTCCTTTGGGTAGTGAAGGGCGGGGTATAAATCCAATCCTTCTTCTTTTGACTCCTTGCCAGGCTGGTGATTTAATGAAAATGGCAGGGGTACCCCAAGGTGGCGGTGATAAAAGGGAATCATGCTGATTCTTCCTCAATAGTTTTTGTTCATTGATGTGCTTACTAATTCTGTCTTTAAAAACAGATTCCGCCAGCTTACCCGGTATCGACATTAGACTGACCAGCCTGTAATTTCCCGGATCTCCTCTGGAACCCTTTTTAAAGGAGGGGGTGACAGTAGCTACCTTCTAGTCCTCAGGACTGGAGGCGGATTTCAGTGTTCGATTGCATATTTTTGTCAGCAGATCCACAAGTTCACGTTTGAGTTTTGTCAGTTTTTAATTTGCCCATCAGTCGTAGGACCTCTCTCATCACTTCAATCCGACTCAGGTCTTTCGACACCCCTCCTGAAATTGGCAGTTCCACAGTGGGCAAGCAACTCCCATCGTCCACAGTGCAGACAGAGGCAAAAAAAAAAAGCATGTCGCTTCTCTGCCCTTGCCCTATCATCCTTTAGTAAACCCTTTTCACTTAGCCTAACTTGAAAGAATTTTAAAACTTAGGGGGGGTGTTTATATGGGACACTTTGTCACTGGATCTGGGACATTAAGGCACTGGAGTGGGGCCTGTGACCTCACAGAGTTGTGCTGGTGGGAAAAGGGATCCCCCCGCATGAGTTTTGCAGGTCCCACTTGTTCCTTACTGTTTTTGGACTCCGAAAATAAATTTAATTCAGAAATGCAGTGTGCCCACAACAGTTGGTAGCTGGAGGAACACGGGATTATGAAAGCATTACTGGCAGCTCTGGACTCCCAGGTTTCCCCATGAGAGAGCCCCAGACAAGCAACATCAAATAAAAGTTGGGTAACTGTACCATCCTGAACAGAATTACACCCTTCTAACCCCATGCACTTTGACTGTCTTAGAATAGGCTTGCCAAATCCCCCTGGGGGGCGGGGAACCCCCCACCTCAGAGGCCTGTTCTCCACCGCCGGCGGATTGGGCCCCGGGGGGAACCCCACCCCCAAAGCACGCGACGTGCACGTCACCCGGAAGTGACGCGGGCATGCCGGGCACACTGGGGGCGGGGCCACAGTCATCCAAGGGAAAACTCTATGGTTTTCCCTCAGATGGTCATGGCCCCGCCCCCAGCGTGCTCGGCGTGGTCGCGTCACTTCCGGGTGACGGGGTTGCGGCACGCGCTCTCTCCCAAAGCAGCGCTGGAGTCCCCTGTTCCAGCGCCGCTTCTGACTTGGCAACCCTATCTTAGAAATGTAGGACTCTGTGTAAGATAGCACTATGAGCACCTTGTCAGTGGCCCATTTTGATTCATCAGCCATTACACGTCTGAACCAATTCCAAATTCTCTTTCATTAAGTACTCACTTTGATATCTGGATTTAATTAGAGAAATGTGTACACAGGTGAGAATGCAGCATAATGAAATTTCAAGCAACAACTATAAAACCTTGTTGAAAACATGAGATGTTGGAAACATCCATAAATCACCCATCTACACGGTTGCAACACCTAATTGTTGCTATCAGATTTCTGACACTTTCATTGTTGCCCATGAGCCTTATCGTGTCTTTCACACAGTTTTATTGCTATGTGCCTGCAGCTGGTGCCAAAATTAACATCGAAAAGGCATTAATTTTAATTGGGATATATTTGGATCCAAGGAAGCAGGGAGAAAAGATGGCACGCAAAACAAAGACGGGTTCGTTTCTTACGAGAAGAAGTGAAATTGAACAGGAAATACTGGAACTGAACAAGTAAGTGCACAAAAATTCGATCTCCTCCCAAATACCATCAACCTACATCTCCTCCAGACTAACATCTCCTCCAGACTAGAGTCGGTATCACATATTTTGTTACATTGTAATTTTTATGCTAGGGAGAGACAGCTGTTAATTTTTCCATTGTTGTCCAAATTTAAACCCTTGGATGTCCAGATGAATTGAGGATTTTAATTTTTTTGTTGGAAAACCGGAAAGAGAGGATATCTTTAGCTGTGGCAAAATTTTGCTTCCTGGCCCTTAAAAAGAGGAAGCTTGTACCTTAGATAGCGAGCTGATGACAAATTAGCGTTGTTTTTGTTTTGTTTTAATGAGATATTGTACTCGTTTTAAAGTTCTTTTATATATCCATTTGAATTTTATGTATTTATAGTGTATCTTATATTATTATTCCTCTTGGTAATGTTCTATATTGGCCGGTCGCTTGACCATACTAATAAACTTGAACTTGAAAAAGCCCATGACACGAGGACATTATACACGATCCAACTTACTTCTTGTTCCATTTCACTGATAACTACTCATGAAGGGGGCTAGAAATTCTAATGTCTCAGCTTACAGAGCTGGAAAAAAATACAGAGGAGGGCATCATAGATGATTAGGGGGCAGGAGCACCTTCCCTATCAGGAAAGGCAGAAGCGTCTGGGACTTTTCAGTTTAGAAAAGAGATGGCTAAGGGGGGACATGACAGAAGTTTATAAAATTATACTGGGGCCCCAGTCACACGGGCAGGAAACTGCGGGGGGGGGGGAAGCGTGGCTGTTTGCCCTGGGGCAAACTAACACGCAGTAAAGCGATCATACCTCCTGTGGAGGTTCTGTGGAGGTACCGTGGAGCTTCTGTGGTTACGGAGAGGCGTCGATCACAACACATGCCTGCGCGCAACGAAGAAGCGCGCGGCGCGGCGAACTAGTTTTCTTTTTTTGTGTTCACTACGAATGCGCATGCTCCATTGGGTGCATGTGCGCAACCACAGGGACGTGGGGGAAAAAAAAACCTTTTTCACAAGAGGACATGGGCGGGCGCCGGATGCCACCGGAAACGCAATCAGACGCCCGCCCTTGCCCCGCAGTTTCCGGAAACTAGTACCTCCGAGGTAACTAGTTTTTTGCTGCGCGGTTTCGGGAGGAAGCCTCGGTTGTGCCACAGAAGCGCTACGCTCCCCAGATGTGCTGGTGAGATCGCGCCTGGAAACTCCGCCTGTCTTCCGTATCTCTTGCGTGGCTAATGTTGCGTGTGACCGCAGCCTGGAGGTGGAGAGAGTCGAGAAAGAGAACTTGTCTCTCCCTCTCCCCAAATACTAGAACTCAAGGGCATCCAATGAAACTGACGGGCAGTAGGTTCAGGACAGACAAAAGGAAATACTACTTTACACAGAGAGTGATTAAAAAGTAGAATTCGCCGCCAGAGGATGTCATGATGGCCGCAGGAGTAAGCAGCTTTAAAAGGGGGATTAGATAGATTCATGGAGGGTAAGTCTATCAGTGGCTACTAGTCACGGTGACTGAGAGGAAACTCCACATTCAGAGGCACTGACCCTCTGAATCGCAGAATCAGGAGACAACATTAGGGAAAGGCCTTGGCCACTATGCCCTGTTGTTCGCCATCCAGAGGAACTGATTGACCACTGTGTGAGACAGGATGCTGGACTGGATGAACTACTGGTCTGATCCACCAGGGCTCTCCTTATTTCTTATGTTCTCCAAACTAAATATTTAGCCTGGGCTGAAGGACACAAATTGTGCACTAGAAAGATACTAGTGCAAATCTGGTTTCAGCCATGAATTTATTTCTCTACCCTCTATCTATAATAGGGGAGCATAATATCGACTTTAGAGGGTTGTCCTAAGAATGACTGAGATAATTCACGGAGGGCACTTGAAACAATAATAATTCACATTTATATTACAGATTTAATGCATCTCACCCATTTAGGCTGCGACGCCTTCAGAGTAATAATTCATCAGAACGCCAAATATTCGTACACCGCTTTATAGCGTTCAAAGTGCTTCTTGTACGTTATCTCAGATCATCTTTACAGCCTCCCCGTAGGCCTGTTCTTGCATTCACACACTGCAGAGATAGGCCACCAACATTTCACAGATAAACTTAGGAATGCGCTCATGACAGGCCTGCTCTTATACCAAGAACACACCCTTTTCACACTTACACACCGTTGAAGGCTCTTCATCCGCAGGCTAAATTCATTCATTCTGCCATAGCCCTGTGTCCTCCTGCTGTCTGATTAAGCAACCCCTACACAGTCCTAGGAGCTGCGGTGGCTCAAGTGGTTAAGACGCTGAACTGCAGGCTGTGGAAGGTCGGTAGTTCAGCAGTTCGAAACCCGAGTGTGCCGCATGACGGAGTGAGCTCCCGTCTCTAGTTCCAGCTCCTGCCAACTGAGCAGTTCGAAAGCAAGAAATTGCAAGTAGATAAATAGGTACCGCTTTGGTGGGAAGGTAACAGCGTTCTGTGCACCTTGGTGTTTAGTCATGCCGGCCACATGAC